GCTCTAGCCTACGGGACTCTCAGGTGTGAGGGAGGAACGGATGACTGTCTATTCTCCAATCTCATTCCTGTCGAGATCCCTCTCTCCATCCATGCTATTTAGGTTGTGCATGAGGCGTGTGTGTGTGTGTGTGTGTGTGTGATGGTATCTTCCAGCTTGCCTGGAGACATGGCACTGTGTTTCATAGCTAGATCAGCAGTAACAACCACTTCCACTACCAGAGCTGTCACATGCCGACGCTAACAAAGCTACAGCTCCCACTGCTAACACAGGTCACATTTAACAAGGATAACAGCATGGATTGTACCCATACTGTGGTAAATGCTTGTTTCACATCAAAACTCTATATCTAAGTTCACATACTGTGTGCACACTAATCACACACGCACACACTTTTTAAAAGCAATGTCACAACATGTTTAATATTTAGGGAACAAAGCATTAAAACAAAGAAAAACAAAGAAACAGAAGTTATTAAATAAATTAGGTGTGGATAAAAATCAATAGCAATGATAGCGGAAAGACAATATATTTAATTTGTATTGATTTTACCCTAAGAGTAAAATAATGATAGTTGCACTCAGTTGGTTTCCACCCGCCAACCCCCCCCCCCCCCCCCAGGCAAATCCTTAACCGGTTGAAAATTAAATGGGGAATTGACAGCCATTATGTGGAAAGAAGTGGACTAAGCCAGCTTAAGGTCTCTCTGAAAATCTTCATTATTTTGTAAAGAAACAATTAGCCATGCAGTTAGTTAAAAGGAAAGGTGGGAAGCAATAGAAAACTCCTTTATACTTTGATGAATTTCAAACAACTAAACACAAATACTGCTGCACACTTAATAGACCCAGTACTTTTATTCTTTCCTTGCCATTATTTGCAATGTAAGCAGCATAAAAAAGACACAATAAAATGGAAAGGAAGATAGAATACAAGGAGAACCGAGAGATATAAAGGACACAGGTAGATACATAGTGTATATAGATAGATAGACAGAGAGATAGAGAGAAAGAGAAGAACATGCGGGCTCGTCCCGAGGGAGGTGCTGGCCTTAATTATGCCAGTGTGGCTCATCAGTCTCCAGGCTGGCCTATAGCCTCCACGTCCTTCCTCCTCGTGGACTGGAAATTATACATTGCAGCAGTGTTTGTCCATAGAATTAGTCTGAGAGATTAACAGCTAAACACCCACAGATCACCCCAGGAGCCCACAGGGACTCTGCTGCCTAGGGAGCCCTGCCCAGACAAAGAGAAAGATAGATGTAGGGAGAAAAAGTAAGAGAATGAAAAAGGAGGTAATGGGCTTTCAGTTTCTCGTTCTCAAAGGCGCAGAGAGAGCTTTACCTGCTTGGTTATTTCTGTCTGAAAATCTCGAAGCCCCAGAGGCAGCAAGGAGGCTAAAGTTTTGGAAATAAAGAGAAAGAGAAAAATAAAGAAATGTGAGACAAGAAGACAGTGAGTATAATGGGGATAGATGGGGTAATGTAAAAGCTTGCAGAGAAGGGAGGAAACCAGAAGCAAGCAAGTCATGCAGGGACTTTGCTAATTGGAACAACAGCAGCAGTACTCTATTCCTGAGTGACTAATTCAACATCAGCAAGTATTGTTAGTGACATCCTGTACTCAGCGTAGTGCTTTCCAACTACAAATGTTAAGAATGGAGACAAAAACCCAGGAGAGGAAGCATTTTATTACTTTATAATGGCTCAATAAAATGTGCACTCAACGGAAAAGCAAAATGTAGATTTTAAAAATGAAAAAGTGAAAAAAAACTACATGTATGAATTTTAAGAGGCAAATCCAGTCCACCAGTATTCAGACATGTGTTTTGTATTGTTTTTTAATTGCACAGCTTGAATTTGAAAATGAAAAACTCCAAAGCATCAATCAAGACTGCTTGATTGTGTATTTAAAAGAAAAAGGAAGAAATTGACTTTGCATATGCAACAGCATCTAAGGTGCTTTAACAGAACTTTGTAGGTGTATTTGACTGTAAAAGCTAAAAAAAAAACACAAGTAAAGTCAGTGTCTTCAGGTTTTGTTCCTTAGTAAAATTAAAGAGCTTTTTAGGGCTTATATCAGGTTGTAGAAAACAGAGAAACAAATGTATTGTTGACATGCAATGTTTTTTGCTATTGTTTTAATTGCAAAGCAAGTTCAGCTGCAATTTCCAATATGACAAAGTAAATACAATGATTTATTATAATGCGTATTAGTATAGTCAAGTGCAGTGCAAAAACCTAAGTCAGCGGTGCAATAAGCATGTATTAATGGGAAATGTGACTAAATCATGAATCGTTGGCTGCAAAATGTAAGGATGCAGGTTTGCAAATACATTCTACATGAAGGTGAGGTATAACAAGGAATGAATCTGTGCAAAATGAGGAAAAAAAATCTTACCAATAAGTTATTTGTGAAACATAATAATGAATGTCACAAGTTGTCATAAATGTTGAACACCACAAAGACACTAAAATGCACTGTCACTTGATCAAACGGCCCTTACGCATGTGTCAGCTTTCATATCACTCGTAGACAATATCGCTGAAAGGGAGCACTTACAACATGTAGCGTCTTCTTGGCTTGAAAAGAGTGTGTTGTGCAGCTGTTGTGCAGACTCCAGAGTGACCGTAGAATAAATTAAATGCTGTTTAATGTTTATTCTCATTCTATGGTTTAACCACTCCAGTGAGCTCCGAGCATAAACACCAAGTTCCCTCAGATCTATTCATTGCCTTCCTGTTTTGATCACGGCACTATGACAGACAAACACAAAGTGATTGCAATGAGAGACGATGTTATTCTGAGGATGGGCTTCTCTCTCCACTTAACTCCTGTGACAAATATATTATATGGCATTATCTCTGGGTACAGGGCCAACTACCTGATCTCTTGACAAAGGCCAGCTTTTCAGGAGACAATGGTGTCGGGCAGGAGGAGCTCTGTTGTAATTAAGTATTAATGAAGGTGGCGAGGAGGGGGATGCCTGATGTCTGATCTGTTAGCAGTGGCGGGCCCTCTGTGGTGCAGGCAGCTAGTGTCTCTGTGTTTTAGAGGATTTGGTTATCTATTATGTATGAAGGATTAGTCTCCTTCTGCTCCTTCTACCGGTGGGATATCAGCTCCTCGATAGCCTTGACGGCCAGGCTCCACACTTGTTTGCAGATTTAGAGCCCAAACTGCTACACACCCCTGCCCTCAGAGTCCCGTTTAACCTTGAAGACAGAGAGCCAGAAGTCCTGCTAACGATCTAATCCTGGTGGGAAACACCACTCGTGGTCTCTGATACATAACTGGTGGCTCAGGTGGTCTGGGACAGCACAGGGTTAAGCAGTTAATGCCAAAATGGAAGACACACACACACAGGTACTGTACAACACACAAACATACTGTATTTTCACAGACACACAACCGCCACACACAGTGGTTTCTGCATATATATATATACAATAGGGCCGCAGGGTTCAGCTGCTCACCGACAGCTTAGAATTGGCTTGTTTCATATGCATATAAATATTAATAAAAGATCCTCGAAGGGCCACAGTCCGGCTATGCTCCTGTAATCTCTTACAATTGAAAGCCAAGGCTCATGAGATGAGAAGGGGAGCAGGCAGAGAAAAAGGGAGAGGGGGAGAGAGACAGGAAAAGAGAAAGAAACAGGGAGTATGAAAGGCCTTTGTGATTTATCATTCTGAAAATGTCTGATGTGGAGAAGGTCTGTAATCCATCAAGATCTCTTTTCTTATTAAATTCTTCAGGATACACTTTCCACTCCCTAAATGTGGCTCACTGTCCCTTTTGATTTGATGCATAAATTGATAAAAGACCAAGAATTAAGTGAAACACCCATGCCTTGGGAGATAAAGTAAGGTTTATGAAATTACACTCATGCTACATGTACACTAAGGAACTAACGCCATGCCTCTGATGATATACAGTACAGATGAGTAAAAACCATATGGCCGTCTTACTTGGCTGACTTGAGACAGCTTTTTTCTTTTTTTCAAACTTCTCACTCTTCAAGTTAAAACACTGAATATTACATGGTTTATGAGCTTTTGATATGTATTTCCCATGTGTGCAAATCTAGGAAACTAAAGACAAAATGGTGCATTTTCATTAAAAACATTATTCATAGAGCACTTTCTGAAGAAGACTTGATCAAGACACAATGCACAAAATGGTGTGTACTCTTCATTCTATTTGAAATTATGTGTTAGCTGCAATCTCAATATGAGTTTGTCCTGGATCTGTGCTCTTCAGTTGAGCTCTGTGATGGCTTAATACAAATAGGTTGACTTGTTTGAATTCTGTTTGAAATTTCCTAATAGAAATGAGTCAATTATGTGATAAAAAATACGTTAACATCCTTCCAACACTGTAGCCATTGCCAATAAAATAATTATAAGTAGACTTTTGTGCAGCAGTTAGTTGAAAGCCCTCTTGTGTGGGATTTAAAAATATCTGATTTTGGCGACTCCTAGTGGAGGGATCAAAAAAGATTCCGTGACAGACACACTAACAGATCAGAGCTTCTTTGCCCTTGTCACACTAGTCCAGTGATTCTACTGTAGTGACAAGGACATGATCCCTCACCGGCTTCCCACCACCACCGAAAGATGGTGAAAAAATGCAATTATAGGTTGTGAGGTCAGATTTTCCACCCTTTTTCTGATGCTTTTATTATCACTACCAACGTGCCTGACATACATTATCATTGTGAAACCCCACTCAAATCATCCAATATGGTGTTTTAGAATGAAAAATGAAAAACAGCAGATCAATTGCATATTGAAGCGTGGCAATAGCTGGTTTTTGTTTACCAGTGTTTTGAATTCATATTGAGAAACATGTTAGGTTAGGTGTCAAGGTTTTGGGATTGAGTTCTGTTATTTCCTGTTTTATTTTGAAAGTATTCCTTCCTGTCTATGTGTGTCTGGTTGATTGTCTGGTCTGCCCTAATGTGTTCCACCTGTGTTTAATCATCCTGCTTCCTTGTGTGTCCTATGTCTTTGTGTTTTTCCTTGTCTTTTCTCAGTTTTTCGTGGTCTCTTGTTGAGCTTCCCTGCCTGTCTCCTGTGCCTATGATTTTGGATTTTGGATTTTCTGCTTTTTGTTTTGACTGGATTTTTGCATGTACCCTTTTAGATTTGTTTTCTTATGTGGACTAGTTTTGTCCTGAGCTTGTCTGACTTCAGCATAAGCCTTTTGTATTTTTGATTGCACTCATTAAAATCTTTGAATTGTATCTTCTTGGTCTACTATCCTGCGTTTGGGTCCATATCCTTTTTTTCCTGTGTCTGCACTCGGCCATTGTCACACTAGGTAAGGTGAACATGCTTTTATTAATGGAACAGATGATTATAATAGTATTTTCCTATTGTGTCATGACATTTTCACTTTCAAATAAGTGGTCTCAATAGTTATTTATCACTACCATTATCACTTGTAGAAACCTATTTGTGGTAAAATACTATTTAAGCTATCATTATGGAGAAAGAGAAATATAAAGACACAAACTCAGAATAAAGGAGACAAAGAAGGCACTAGCCACTACCAGTGACTTTCTAATGAGGCAGTAGTTGCCATGGTGACAAGGCTTTATGAGGCTCTACCAAAGACAAGGCCTTGCCCTGTACCAGTATTGTGTGTGTGTGTGTCCTTAGTATACAAGTCTCACTAGTACTGCCTCACTATGTCCTCAGGCAGGCTCGGAGGCTGAGTCAGAGTGAAGAAACCCGACTGTGATAACATGTTACCAGCAGCCCTGAGCCCAGAACTGTGCCCTTTCTCCATGCACAGTGCTGCCACCTTCCCTGGCTATCTTGCTGTGCCCCCCCAGAGATGACACTCCATGGGGGGCTACATGTCCAATTACAGGCCTAACCCTGACCTTTTGTCTGAGGCTATCCTCCCACCCTTGGCTTCCTGACTAGCTTGATTTGACCAACCAAGCAGACCACAAGCCGTAGCCTCTGTCTCTGTGTGTTGTCCCTATTTGCCACAGTACTGAGTGGAAAATCAGGCAGAGGACCTCTGCCTAATGCTTCCTGATAGCTGTTAATTCAATAAGTGAGCAACCTTGCCTTTATTTGCCCTTGTGGTGAGAGTAAATGGAGTTCTGAGTAGGGAAGAGAGAGACACAGTGCCAGAGAAGGTATTTTGGAAATAGTATTTCTTAAAGGGGTGATATGTAGGTTTTCAATGAAATCATTTTTTGATAAATCACCTTTTTACTCCCTTTTTGTCTATGGGCTGTAACCTCACTTAGAAAAAAGCCACACAAAATGATCCCAGGACAAAACAAACTCCAACACAAACTCCAGTAAGGATAAAAACCAAAGGAGAATCAAATCAATATCGGGTGAAAACACAATAAATATTAATTTAGCTGACACTTATCCAAAGCAACTTAAAATTGTATATGTATAAAGTATATGAGCAACTAGCGTTTAAGTGTTTTAATCAGGGACACATTGGTGAATGTATCACAGTGGGGAACTGAACTCAGGTCTCTCACACCAAAGGCTTAACCACTGCTCCATCACCACCAAACACAGTCAACATTGCTTGAGTCAGGGAGAGACTTCTGCTTTGTTTTGACCGACACAGAGTTTGCTTTCATCCTATAGACGGGTTTCTGTGCAATGTCGCATTTTAGAAATGAATCCACTTTACTGGAACAATAACTAACTAACTAACTAACTAACACTGCAGTGTTTTCAGTATTGAATAGGCTATGGATATAATCTATTTAAAAGTAATAAAAAACGCATATTTATAACAGCAGCAATGAGTATGATTTTTACAGTACATAACATTTCTTAATGTCACTGGCTGAAATAGAAAAAACAAAGCAAGTCTTTCCAGACTTTTCAAACTAGTCGCGTATTCATAACAGCAGCAATGAGTATGATTTTTATGAAGCATAACGTTTTTTAATGCCACTGTCTGAGGAAAAAAAAAATTAAGCAAGCGTCTCGACTTTTGAATTAACGTTACTGTTTTGCACATGCATTTATAAGAGAAGTATTCAGTGCTTTTATAAAACACAAATCGTTGATTAACGCCACTCTGTCCAGCCGAGTGGATGCTTCACTGGCAGTAACGTTAGCAGCCGGAGTTTCTTTCTACAGGCTAAGTATCACACAAGCAGATGCTTCAATACAAAATTGTTCACGGTTAAAAGCTTTTTGCTGCTGTCACAACGTTTACGGAAGACCATGTTCTTTGCATCTCTGAGTGTGACACAGCTAAGTTAGCCTAATGACAGTACTTACAGCTGTGGAAAGAATGCCTCTCTCCCTCGTTATTCCTTTAGCTTTTTGGCTAGCAGCTGAATTGAACAACATTACGTCCAGTTTCGCTGACCTCCAGTGTGGTTGTGCATGTTATATTAATATGCGAAATGAAACACAAACAGATCCATCTCTGAAATGGCAGTTTATTATTAAGTCAACAAGAATTTACAAACAATGCGTAATCTACGTTGATTACAGCAATTGATTACGGTCTTCTGACCGGCTACTAGCGCTTTTGCCCCGTAGCTGCGTGCGCATCCAGTAGTGTTTGTATACATGAAACCCTTCTATAGGACAAGTAAACTAACATTACCGCAAAGCATATGAAATATATTGTGATGTTGTGCTTTTGTTGGATCAAGTTAGATAACGTTAGCTTGCTGGCTAACGCAGAGCAGTTGCTAACGTTTTCCGGTGTAAAATAGAATATTTGAATGGCTTGCTAAATTGCTTCAACAGCTAACGCGATCCATATTACTATCCTGTGTACCACTGGTATTATGTCAGAGTGTTGATTTTAGCCTGCAAGAATTGATCTAAGGGTACAAAGCAAATGTGGAGCAGTTTGTTTATAATAGCCTATAGTTATACAAGTCAGGGGCAGCCAGCTAACGTTACATTAGCATGGGTCCACCATTGTTTGCTTCATAACGCTCAATATATATAATGCAACATAACTCAGTCAAGCTCACTAACCGTTTTGTTATCATCCCAGTGAAAGAGACACAAATAACTGTCTGAAAAGCAGACCGGCGAGCTAACGTCACGTCAGCTGAATGCAGGCAATGTGAGCATGGATGAGTTCATACTTAAGCTGATGAAAATATTACTGTAACGTTGCAGTGGTAGTTTACCTGAGTTTCCAGCATTTTGTGTGAAGCTGTCTCCCGGTGAGACTGTCTATAGCTGCTTATTTTCTTGGAGTATTGTGCCAATATGTTAGCTCGCTGCTCTGTCTGAAGGTAACATTACGGAGCCGGAATGGGGTGTCGGATTTGATCCACCTCTGAGCCAGGAACGTTGGTATGTCTGTGTTAAAAGCGTCAGCCGGCTTGACGGTATTTCCGCATTTATTGCCGTATTTCTGTATGAAAGCGGTTGTGTTTCGGATTGCTGTCTCATGAGTTCACACCTGGTTGCAATCTTAAAACCGCACCGCTATTGGCCGCTTAAAACTACAGTTTTTTTTTTGCTTGTCCACAATATGGAAAACTGTCATTAGCTTCATCAGTGCATGGTTGACACATAGACCCATGGCTAGGTTTTGGAGGGCCCAACAGAGAAAGGTAGTTTAAGTATTACCAGAACGGAAATGCATGTGCGTTGAGGGTGTGTGACGCTACTTCAAGCTCGTTTTAAAAAAAAGATTGATTGGGTTGATTTTAAAATCTTAAAGGAAACAATATAAATGGAGGAAAAAGACACACTTTTGGTGTTTAAACCAAACCTCTGAATCACACCAAATGCCATCATAGGATTTCTTTAATAGTTGCAACATGCACTCATTTATCTAAATCCACGACTGCTACAAACAGCTGGTGAGTAACTGGTAAAGTATGTTTCTGAACAAGGAATATTGTAATTAAATACAAAGGGGCAAGGTGCACAATATTGTTTGGAAACTCTCCTCCCCAAATCCTACAGAAAACTTGGGGGCGTCTGCCCTTTGATATTTCACTGGTGTCTCCGTCTAGCTGTGTGACAGGCTTTTTAGTCAGATGGCTGCTGCTGGCGCTGTTTTGAGAGCAGGAAGATCGGCATGTCATACAAGAGGGTTCACAAACAAGTCATCTCTGAAATTCTGCAGACAAGCACTCATCAATTAGCCTGGTCTTAGATGATAACGTAGCTGTTTTTACTAGCTGTTACATCACACTCCATTTGATTTACAAGACGCAGTTACACTGTCTCTGTGAAAACAGTATAATGAAAGCAACAAGGATTCATCCTGCCAGCGTGCCATTATTTTATGTATTGTATTTATGTAAATAAGATCTTTAACTCAGATTTATATAAACATGTTATGCTACATCCATGAGAAATAATTGACAGCCATCGCTCTGCACTCGCTTCCCTTGTCTTTAAGGGAACATGCCACTTTGAAGAGCTCTTAAACAATACAGGAACATGCAATTCTAACTTGCAGCCTCAGAGCAGGCTGTGAGTTTAAACCCAATGGGAAATGGGAGGTTCTGAGATCTACTTATATGAGACTTGATGGTTCTAAGATCAAATTCCTCCGAGCTAGACGCTTGTGAAGGGAATACTGAGATGGGCTCTGAGGCATCTCTTCCCCCTCCACAAGACCAGTGGAGTGTGGGATTCTCCTGTTCCTCCACACAAACAGATCCATCTGACATGACAGACCTTAACCCCTGAGGGCCCACTTAACTCACAGCCACATTAATTGAATCTGGCCCTTGTGAAAGCACTAGAGAAACCCTACACCATGCAATCCAGTATAGAATGGGCGGATTTGGAGCAAAAGAGAATGCATGTCATGGGGTGAGATTTGATGTGTTTTGAAGCCGATGAAGCGGAGGACTGCGATGTGTGTTCCTCAGATCATTAGGTTGAATCAGTTGAGATTCATCTGAAAATGCGTCTTTATGGGGCAATTCTCACAGCTAGCTGGTTACATCTCATTGTCTCTCTGTTTCTGCTGTCTGCCTCTTCTCACGTCTCTCACAGGCTGCTGCAGGTAATGGAGAGGTATTCTGAGCAGATTTCTTGCATCCGTGTTCCTTCGGGGATCTCCATGGAGATAAACTTGACCGCTTGGTATGTAATCATCCTCCTCCACTTCGCAGGTGAGGGAGGTAAGGGCAAGGATCTTGGAGAACATGGCGAGACCATGTAAGCATGCACACGTGCGTGCGCACACACACACACTCACACACACACACACACAAAAAGACACAGACTAAGCAAACACACTACCCTCTGCAAACACATTCCTTCCTTTCACCTCAATATAACCCCTGTGTTTACTCCCAAGAACAACATTTTCACTCTGTCTCACTCAGTCTGAAGGATTAATTCACTGGATAGAGGCTGATAATACAGACCCACAGAAATCTGGGGCTCCTCCTTTTACAAATGTCAGATAAAGTCATCATCATCATTTTATTACACAAAGCCGATTACTCCTCCAGCCAGGCGCGTGTAGGGATAAAAGTGAGGATCGGGTGGAGAGCCCTGACACAAATTGGATTTCCGCTCTCCTATATCCTTAAATATAGATTTATTATCCATTAACACACCAGTATCCCCAGCTAGTTGCAACGTCGGGATTTACTGTAATGAATAGAAATCATGCAGTATATAAAAAGGTATTATTTGCTTTCTAGTGCTTTATTGAATTTGGAGTAGGAGAGAAAAACGTACCGTAAATGATCGAAAAGGTGCAGGAAAAGTATGTTGTGTACGTGTAATTGTGTCATAATCTACTGTAGTGATCTATTATGGTATCAAAATCCAGATGTTGCATGAGTTTGAACATTTTTGAGTTTGAGTTTGAACAGTACAAGAATTATTATTAAGTTTGAATAATTGACAGATACATAAGTACAATCTTTGGCTAACACAGTTTTTTTTAACACTTTTATTTTTAATAAACTGTGTCATGCTCTGAATGAGTCATAGGTACTTTGCAGTGTGTGTGTATGTGTGTAGGGGTGTATGGGTTTATATGTAAATATACATTTTTCTGCTGTGTGCGACTCAACATGCTCATACATTTGTGTGTGTGTATGTGTGTGTATGCATGTCACAGTGCCTGCATGTGTGTCTATTCCCATATCTCCGTGAGAGTGCGCATGTATTGAGGGTCAGAGTTTGTTTCTCTCCCTGGCTGGTTGCTGTTGGCAGGATTAGCGACAGGACAAGATGTTTAGTAAAAGCCCTGAGTTAGCTACGCCAAACATTGCATAATGCTCCA